AGCTGCACGGGATGCTGGCTGTAAACAGAATCCTGGGAAAGGGTCTGAAAACGCCTGTGTCATGCCAGGGCGTGGGAGGCAAAGCGTGAAGGGTCCAGGCGGGGACACTCGGACAGAGGAAGAGACGCCCACAACACAGCTGGCTCTGGTTAGCAAAACAATAGAGGCCAGAGTAGGCAAGGCCAAAGGGCCCAAGCCTTCCTAAGAATCAGACTGCTCAATTGAGATTTTACATTTGGGAATCTCTACTTGACCCTCTCTACTCCAGTGCTGTCCTCCAAGCAGGGTTAGAGGACCCCTCTGGGTCTCCACAGAAACCACGTTTCTCTCTCTTGTCACAAGAGCTTCGGGTGGGGAAATCCCCCGTTCACTTGTTACTCCTATTAAGCTGTAAGTGTGTCTAGTTCAAGGCTGCTCTTTTATCTCCAGTGTCTTTCATACTGACTGGCTCAGAATAGCTTTGGGAAAATGTTTCCATTCTTTGTTTCTCCGAGACAGAGTCTTGCTCTGTCGCCAAGGCTGGAGTGCAGTGGTGTGATCTCAGCTCACTGCAACCTCCACCCCTAGGGATTTAAGCAATTCTCCTGCCTCAGCCTCCAGAGTAGCTGGAATTACAGGTGTGCGCCCCCACGCCCAGCTAATTTTTTTTTGTATTTTGGTAGAGATGGGGTTTCACCATGTTGGCCAGGCTGGTCTTGAACTCCTGACCTCGTGCCATGCCCCCCTCGGTCTCCCAAAGTGCTGGGATTACAGGCATAAGCCACCATTTTTAAAATAAAAAAAAAAAAAATGCTGGGCTGGGTGCCAAGGCACGCACCTATAACCCCAGCACTTTGGAGGCTGAGGTGGGAGGATTGCTTGATGCCAAGAGATCACGATCAGCCTGGGCAACACAAGACCCCTTTCCTAAAAAATAAAAACAAAAACTTGCCTGGGTGTGGTGGCAGATGCCGGTAGCTACAGCTATTTTGGAGGCTAAGGTGAGAGAAGAGGATGACTTGAGGCCAGGAGTTCGAGGTTACAGTGAGCTATGATTTTACCTTCCTACTCTAGCTTGGGTGAGACAGTGAGACCCTGTTCTCAAAAATGATTAATTAAAACATTAAAAAATACTGGAAATCTTAAAGCACACACACTTAATCCTACTGCATTAAAAAATTACATTAATATATGAAAGTTCCCCTTTCATATCCTCCCTGAATTTTTTCTTTGCTAAAACAGATATATCAATGTATGCAGTAAATGTTGGTTGTGTCAATTAATAAATGAGTAAATAAACAGTCTTGTCTGTCTTGAGATCAAATCCTGGAAGGAGGCTCCCAGCTTTTGCATCTGGAAGTCTAAGTATTAGTCTCGAGTCCGGTGCAAATCCTATCCTCTTGAATTCAAGGCTTGCCATTCCCCAGCCACAGCTGTAGCTGCTAGCTAGGAAGCTTCTTGAGAGCACCAATTATGTTCTTTACCTCATATTATTACAAACAGTATTTGGAGCCTGTCCAAGCTTATATGAACAGCGAGCAGTGAGGCTAGGGTTGCTCAAAAAGTGTGATTCTAAGGAAATCAAAAGGGCTTCCTGACACAAAGATGTTTCTCTTGTATTTTTTTTCTCTTTTTTTTTTGACAAACTCATAGCCAACATCCTATCTCATGAAATTCTTTTTGCTGTTTGCTTCTCCCTCATTAAACTGAGACCCTGAAGAGGATGGATAGTACCCCATTCAGCTCTGTATATTTAGGACAGTGCCTGGTGCAACAGGAACCCAAAAAGTATTTGCTAGGTGAGCAAATAGCAGAATGTCAAGCTCTTGAAAATCTGTTTGTGTGTGACTAGTATCACGTCCCCCCAACTCCACCAGCTCATGGTGTTAAACGCCAATTGGACAGGTGTAAAAACCTATGAGCTGAGTATTCTAAAAAAGGAGTCCTTGTTGCCTTAAAAAAAGGTGTGGCAACAGGATTAGAGTGGGGACTTCCCGACACAGTAAAGGTCAGAGCTAGAGACCCTCTTCTTTACATTCCCTCCTTAATTCTCAAGCAGTTCTAGGATAAGAAGGATAACTAAGTTCTAACCGAATGTCTCTTTGAAGAGAAACTACAGTCCTATGTCCTGTGATCTTCTGTGCCCTAGGCATGGTAGTCTTGTTTTTACTGAGGTGATAACTAGCAGTGACAACGTAAGTGATAAGTGTACCCCTGCCTCTTACTTCCGTGTATGCAGACCGGGAGAGAGGCCCCAAGAAGTACGTCCCCGCTTTCACTGTCAGTGGTTGTGTGGACTCATACTGAATTATCCAGTGGCTAACATTTTTAAAAATAGGGGATTTGAGTTCATGCTATCATGCTCATGCTCTGGAATGGCACCTATTTTTCTATTGCATTTATAAGAAATCCTCCTTGCGAACTCATCGTTTTGGATGAACCTGGAAACCATCATTCTCAGCAAACTGACACAAGAGCAGAAAATCAAACACCGCATGTTCTCACTCACAGGCGGGTGTTGAACAATGAGAACACATGGACACAGGGAGGGGAGCACTACACACTGGGGTCCGTTGGGGGAAATGGGGCAGGGACGGGGGGGTGGGGAGGTGGGAAGAGATAGCATGGGGAGAAATGACAGATACAGGTGAGGGGAAGGAAGGCAGCAAACCACACTGCCACGTGTGTACCTATGCAACAATCTTACATGTTCTTCACATGTACCCCAAAACCTAAAATGCAATAAAAAAAAAGAAAAAAAAAAAAAAGAAATCCTCCTTGCAATACTCAGCTTTTCTATCCTGGGATCCACCAGCATCGGTTTCAACCCTCCAGGGCCAGCATCTTAGACAAGACCATGTTAACTGGAGCTGGTCAACACATGTGGGCAGGATGGCAGTGAGGGAGGTGGGGAGGGAGGAAAGAATGGTGGCTTTCCATTTGCATGTCTCTGAGGTTTTGGAGTGGGACATAGGAAACTAGAGTCAAGAAAAGGTGATACATTTGATAATATGTAAGAAGTATCATAGGTGGTACTTGGATGAGATAAAAATTATTTTTTCAGTGCTTTAGTTTCATGGACAAGCAGTAAGAAGGCATTAAATGAATGAATACAAGTGTCGGCACCTTTGCCTGACAAGCTTTAGTGATCAATGGTTTTCCCATCTCTTCCAGCTCTTTCTCTTCCTCCAGGCTCTCTCCCACAATACTAGCTCCCAAACTGTGCCCCCTGCTCCCACCAAGAGATGCATGTGATAATATTAGAAGACTTTATTTCACCTTTGTTTTGAATTTATCTAATGTTTTCTCATTAACAAATTTTTTTTTTCAAATTAGTCACAATTTGATTCAATTCCTCCAAAGCCAGACTACCCAAGACACAGCTTCATGATGTAACAATCAAAGAATCATTAAGGTGCCAGTGGGATCCTCTGTCAAAATAGGAGGATAGTTCCACATGTCAACCCGTATTTCCAAAATATTGGGCACTCCTTGGGTTAAAAATGCAACAACATCTACATGAACTTATGCTTATATGTTAATGGCTAGAAGGAACCTTGAGAGGTATCTGGTTCAAACACTCTCATTTCTTTTCACACACACACACATTCAAAAGTTGGCTGGGTCCTGCGGCTCACACCTGTAATCCCAGCACTTTGGGAGGCCAAGGCAGGACGATCACTTGGGGTCAGGAGTTTGAGACCAGGCTGGCCAACACGGTGAAACCCCATCTCTACAAAAAATACAAAAATTAGCTGAGCATGGTGGTGGGTGCCTGTAATCCCAGCTCCTCGGGAGGCTGAGGCAGAATTTCTTGAACACTTGGAGGCAAAGGTGAGCCCAGATCACGCCACTGCACTCCAGCCTGGGAGACAGAGCAAGACTCCATCTATTAAAAAAAAAAAAAAAAAAAAAAAGGTTCAAAAGTTAAGGACTTTCCAATGTCCCTTTACTTGCTGCTATAGCAGAGTTAGGACTGGGAATAAAGTCCCATCTTCTTTTCAGTGTACATACCTTTTCTTCTTTTTTGCTTCAATCCTCCTAATGGAAGTTTACCCTCTTAGGTTACAACTGATATGAACAGAGCCTTAAAAAGAGAACAGGCACACAGATAACTTGATGATAAATTGGAAGATGATGCAAGTACAAGGACTGAATCCAGAAATAAATCATGTCTTCACATAATGTTTATGGAAATTGCACTTTGCAAAAATTTCCGTAGAAATTATTTTACCCACCACAGGAATGCTACTGTCTCCCACAGGGATCTGGCTGGACAGAAAGGGAAGCATAATACGGGAAGAGTATTCATTCAGATTTATACATGAAACATTATTTGGAACCTAAGTAATAACCCTTAGCTAATCAGAATATTTTATGCATTCTGCTTTTTAGCGGAAACAGCAAACCACAAGAAAGCAAGTATGTATCGGAGAATTAAAAAATGCTTCCAGGGTTTCTTAGGCTCAAAATTTTTTTTTCCTAATTCTCTGCACTATCTTTAAAATATCCCATTGGGCATTTCCTTCCTCCCCTTCACATGTTTTTTTTTCGTTTAACCAATTTGCCAATATTTACTCAGCCTCTCTCTCTCTCTCTCTTTTTTTTCTTTTTCTTGGTTTCCACATACAGCACTGATAAGACCCTCTTGGATACGCCTCATACTCTAAATCAGAGATGAAGACAAAGGTCTTACCTTCAAGAAGTTTAATGGCTGGCTGAAAAGTTATCCTAAGTCAATTTTGGTTTTTATGCCATTTTCAGTTACATTTCTAGTTCTGTAAATAGACAGTTCTACAGTGAATATTTTCATTTAGATCCATTGACTATCATTTTCCATTTTGTTCTGTGCATCTGGGGAAGGGGTTGAGGGAGGAACTGACCTTTACAGATTGGATAAATCATATTCCTTTGCCCTGAGGTTCATCAAATGGGAGTAACCAAAAGATTAGAAGATCAAAGGGTAAGAGGAGAGAGAGGCAGGGGTATGTCTTTCCCACCCACCACCTCTCCAACACACATAGACCTTGTTCTCCACACCTGCAACCTGTGGGTAAACAGTGGCTACATACCTCTGCTACCTGCCACAGCATCTGTAAGGTAGCCCTCTTCTGGAACTAGCTCTTGGGCTAGCAGCTGTCATATAAATCACTGTGACTGTCGATTACAAAATAAGAAGCATATTTCTGAGAACAGGCAAAAAGAAATACAGGTGGGAGCTAGAGGAACTGCTACAGAGAACGAGAACAGGTCAAGATGTTCTTCCTACTTAACCTTTGAAAAGAGATCTCTGAAACGCCACTTCACATTCAGGTGGCCAGGAGAGTTGCATATTCCCTGTCTTTCATAACCCCAAACGTGCCATGCTGGGGTGACAAAGTAGGGCCTGTTTCATTTGGTTGAGTAGCGCTTCCTGGAGCACAGTCTTGAGAAAAATTTTGGGGTCCACTCTCAGTACCTGCATCTCAGTATCTTCCAAAGACATGGGGTCAGCAGATACACTCTGAAATGTGGGTCCTGACTGTAATGCCTATTTCTGTAGCTCTAAATGACTCTAATTTGACACAGTAGAAACGAGTGTCTTGAAAGACAAGTTACAATGGTGTCACCTAGCCCTCCTCTTTCTTTCACTCATTTTACATAAAAGGAAAAAGAGGCATGTGAACGATAGATGGTTCAGAGATCAGTAATGTATCAGCATGCAGATTTTCTCCAAGATCATGCTCAGTTCTACTTATTAAGGAGAAAAAGTAAAAAACAAAAAACAAAAACAAAAAACAAAAAACAAACCATAGTGGACTGCAGTTTTCAGCGGATCTGAGGAAGGCCAGTGAAATCTGACTGGCTGAAATGGAATTTGACTGAGACAGTGAGGTTAAGACCCCATTTTTAGACAGACAAAGATATCTTTGAATCTTGTTTTTATAACCATCAAGATCTAAGCATTATGTTTTACTTTCAGCAGTTGCAACTAGGATCATAGCATCATACTAGACAGACAGGGTGTTGGATGGGATCTAATGTAGTTTGATCACAAAGACAAACAGAAAAAAGCTTATCTAAAAGCCACTTGAGGGAGCTTTTTGGAGATCTTGTTAAAGTTTTCTTTTCGTAAAAGATAAGCTTTGAACTGAGAAGCCTGTTACCCCCAGTTATAAAGTAGCTGGGAGCAAAGGATGGTGATTTTAAAACAGAGTAAGTGAGCAGATAGTATCCAGATCTTGTCTTTAGGGTCGTACCAGTGGAAAAGATACACCACGGAAAGTCAGAATAACAAAACAAAATACACTTTCAAAAGTTTAATTCTGCTAAGTTTGAAGTTGTATTTCTTCTTCGGGATACAGGTCCTAAGACTGAGGATGAAAAATGGGGATAAGAACATTGAAACACTTTTTTTTTTTTTTTTTAAGCTTTAAGTTCTGGGGTACATGTGCAGATCTTGCAAGATTGTTACATAAGTATACACAAGCCATGGGGGTTTGCTGCCTCCATGCCCCTGTCACCTACATTAGATATTTCTCCTAATGCTATCCCTCCCCAGTCTCCCCACCCCCTGCTATCCCTCCTCTAGTCCCCACCCCGCAATTCTCCCAAATTATTCCCTATTCTAGATCCATACACAAGGGAGCAATTCTCTGCCTTCTTTAAAGACCTGTTCTCGAATGTTGAAATGGCCATTTGTAAGAGCGTGGAAAGAAAACATTAAATATGAACAGGAATCCCGGAGCCTGTAACATTCCTATGCAATCAGGATTCCTCCTGGTTCTGCACACTAAGGATTCTACACGTAACGGAGTCAGTTTTCATGCACATTACTCACTTGTGTCTGCTCTGACTCTACCCGCCTGCCCCACCTTCTCTGAATGCTCATCAAAATATCTTCACTGTTATGGGTTAGGAAATTGTCCTGAAGGCAAGAAGTTGAACGTGGCAAAACAAAAAGTGTGACCTTGCCCTTTAATTTTAAGAAAAAAGTATTCTGAGAAAAATCCCATTTTGCTATTCACATCACTTATTCTCTGCTTGGACTTTGCTTTCTTCCAGAAAAAAAGTGATAGTGATGGCTCCTTAAGAAACCCTTTAAGCCTTCCCAAAGATAAGCTTCTGATTATTGTCCTTACACTAAGATGCTATAATTCACTCTCGCCCTCGAAAACTATTAGGGAATAACAACATCTTTTTACATTAAGGGTAGAGAAGAGAGCATCAGCCTTTAAAAAGAGAACCATTTGCTTGCTCTGACTTTGAAGCCTGACACAAGGATGCGGCTTTATGTTGAACCCTTCCCCATTTGGACTAGCCCTAGCTCTAGACTCTTGAGCTTTTCTGTGGTGTCAAAGTAGAACACTCATCTGGAGATGAAGGTTCTTCTTTTTTTTTTTTTTTTTTTTTTGAGATGGAGTTTTGCCCTGTGGCCCAGGCTGGAGTGTGCAGTGGCATGATCTCGCACTCAATGGAATGTCCACCTTCGGTTTCAAGTGATTCTCCTGCCTCAGCCTCCCCAGTAGCTGAGATTATAGGCACCTGCCAAGACACCCAGCTCAGTTTTGTATTTTCAGTAGATGGGGTATCACCATGTTGGCCAGGCTGTTCTCACACTCCTGACCTCGTGATCTGCCCACCTCAGTCTCCCAAAGTGTTGGGAGTACAGGCATGAGCCACTGTGCCCAGCTGAAGGTTATTCTTATTCCTGCTTTTTACTTGTGTGATTTTGGTCAAGGTACTTAATATCTGTGGAAGGAACAGTTGCGTCAGTTATAAAATAAAAGAACTAAAGTTAAGCCAAAGGTTAAAAAAAAAGAACAATAATTATTACAGTTTCTCTTATATTTTAATGGCTCTGGGAGGTTATCTCACTCAAGAGTAGGATCTGCGTCACTTTAATATGGATCCTTATAATAGGGCCAGCATAAGATGGTACGGCCAGAGAACTGTAGCTTTACCCCCATAATTATAAAGAGAGGGGTTTGCTTTTATTATGAAATCTCTTCTGTATTTCAAAAATCATATTCAATATTCAATATCAATGAAAGGTAGGGGTGAATGAATTGTGCTTTGAGTGAGTTTTGAATACAACTGCCATCTAGTCTTTGCTGTCTGCAAAATTCTTCTTTAAGTGAATAAATGTGTAGGGCAACTCTCCATTACCTTGATCAGCATCTAATACCAACCTGACACTTAGAATTAAATTAGAGAAACAAAATTGGATACTTTGAGACTTGAGGGCTGATTATACTGCTTGAGCTAAAAATGGATTTAAACTCTTCCCTTATCCCATCTAAATCTAACTAGGTATAAACTCTCCATTACTAAGGAACAGAGGTGTGTCTGCAGAGGTGAGGTTCCCCTTGATGTTCTTGGACAAGGAAACCTAATCCTTTCTTCTGACACACATGGTTGCAATAGAAACCATTTCCCCACTGCCAGTCTGGTTTTAATCTGTTGTTTCTAGCAAGAAAGGATTTGCAGGGAATGTTAAGAAGGGAACAAAATCACCAGAACTTACTATAAAATAGAAGTGTTGATGAGAAATCAAAATTTAAACAAGTGTTGAAAATTGTAAGCATGTACATACATAGACATATAGTTCATGCTCTAAGGACAGAACTACAAAATTTTTAATCTTAGGTATGTTTAAAGTCTGCTTTCAATACATTTATATTCTCTTTACTAAAGTTCTTTCAATACAGTATTTATATCTCACTTTTCTGAAGTAATTTTGCTTACTCAAATGATAGCAACGGTAAAATACTGTCATTAAATACAATGGTGTTTCATGTAAATACAACTGTTGGAAAATGAAGTATGCCACAGGTGAATTTTCCATATAACCAACTGCATAATACACACTTTTGTTGTTGTTGTTGTTTTTTGAGACAGTCAGTCTCACTCTGTCACCCAAGGCGGAATGCAGTGGCTCAAACTTGGCTCCCTGCAACCTCTGCCTCCCGGGTTCAAGCAACTCTCATGTCTCAGCCTCCCAAGTAGCTGGGACTATAGGCACACACCACCATGCCCGATTAATTTTTGTATTTTTCATACAGATTGGGTTTTACCATGTTGGCTAGGCTGGTCTTGAACTCCTGACCCCAAGAGATTTACACAGCCTGGCCTCCCAAAGTGCTGGGATGACAGGTATGAGACAGCATGCCCGGCCCATGATATATATACACTTTTAAATGTTAACCATTTTGTATGAAAGTATTTCAAAAGCATATTATAGGTTTTTTCTTTAAAGATACATTGAATAAAATATCTTTCCCTGTGGAGTCACAGTTACCATTATTAAAAACTTATTAAAATAAGTTAAATATACTGAGCTGAATATACTCCTCCTCTTAGAAGATGGTGAGCTTTTTAGTCATACTTTCCCCAAAACCAAAATGCTTACTGTGAAAAAGCACAAAAGTAGATAGAACTGGTTCATTTTTAATACATCCTGTGTCTTTTCTGTTAACTGTTCCTTCCAGTTGTTAAAAGCTTATCAATCTCTGATGATAAGCTCTGTAATTTGTTAAAATCTAATTTACTTTTAAAAGAGGTACCTATTTTGCACAAAAGACTCTTCTAGGTGCTGGAGGAGACATTAGAAATATAAACTATAGTCCTTGTCCAAGAAGCAAGGCTGAGTGACACTTGAGAGTTTCCAAGTCACCACCATGCTGCAAAACACAATTTATTATTTCTAACAAAGTCTAAAAACTAGCAAATATTTTTATTTTAAAAATCAGGATAGTAACATTATCAAACTTGTGGTCTAAAATCCCCACCTTTTCCAGTGGGACTGTGTCTTGGAAATATCTCCCATGAAAATATTGGTTGCAGGAGTCTGCAGATAAGATTAAGAACTACTTCTTGAAAAAATAAAGTACGTATGCACTATGACAGCTTTTGGTACAAAAGTCTTATTGCTAGGTTTTATCTTGCTATCTAGATGGCTAAGGAAGTCAGAAATCTAATCTTGCTAATTCCTAAGGTCATATAATCTAATTAATAAAATATGTATAAAAAGCTGTACTACAATGCTTTGCTCTATGTATGAGTAATAAACATGTAAGGCATTTATTAAACTGCATTTTACAAGGGATAACATATATCCCCCTTCCCCTGGCAAGGTCTGTTTCCAGGGTCTCAGTAATAACACATTCTTTGGGTTC